ATTCAGTCCGCATAGGGACGTGCTGAAGATTATGGGGTTCAATTCATTTATAATGCTGATTCCGGTTTTTCACATATTTTCATTATATTTTAAGTTTGACTGTTGGTTAAGTTAACACCAGAGGTGTTGGTGTTGAGCCTTTGTGAACACCTCCGATAACAAAATATTGTCATCTACATATTTACATTTTGATTTTAATTATACTCGTAATTACCTTGCAAGTAACACGAAATTAATTGGATTTTATACTTTACAGCGTTACTAATACTAACTAAACCGTTAAACGGCTTTAATGGTCAACTTGATGCCCCAAGAGATACAACAAATAGCTTCACTGTGGTTGGTCCTAATACAGCATTCACTTCTGTATCAGGTAGTGGATCAGATAGTCAGGCAGCTGTAGTACAAAGTAATGGTGGGACAGCTGCATTTCAAAGTGGTCGTGGTGGCTTCGCGTATAGCTCTAGTACCTAATAAATATGTGAAGTAAAATGGCAAAGGCGACCACTAATGACAATCTATGAAACTTTACATTTTTATACTTTTCAAAATAAATTAGTTAAAATATCAGAGTATAAAATGAATATGTATATATTATATAAATAATAATTGAAATGTTAAAGGTATATCAAGAAATAAAAAAAAAATAATCGAAGACAGTCTATTTAACTGGTTTTGGGTAAGTAATAATAATATGCTAACGTATGTATTTCAATAAGAGAGGACTGCTCGATAGCTCCGCTTGAATTTTCCGACTATTATAACCTCTAAAAACCTTACGGTTATTTATGAGAGATGAATTCGCGACTACACGATTTGCAGCGGGACACTTTACATAATTTTCTCAATCGTGTTTATGCTCCATAAAAGTTTTTCAAAAAGCTTGCTTTGTTAAATTTGTTAGTCTTCATTACTGAGTTGGAAATTATATTGGAAATTAAATGAAACATCTTACTGCGAGTAATAAATTAGGTTGTACTTATGTTTCTTAAAATGAGTGCACAGTTCATTTCCATTTCTAGCCTCATACGAAATTTTGAGATTGTGATTTCAATTTCACAACCAAGTAAATTAATTGCAAATTCTTCGGCTCAGAAACATACTATTACTGGGAGTACGATGACCTTAAGGGAGTGTCTTTTAAGACAACATAAGATTTTCTATTTCATCTATTTCTATTAAAAATCCTACTCAGTAGGTAGAATCTGTTTTCTTGAAAGACTGCGTTTCTCACTATGCTTTTAAACTCCCTAAAGTCGCCTAAGAAGAAGTTTATATTTGGACCGATATACGTAAATAAAGATCCTTCGAGGCCAACGATTATTTTGGGAAAGACATGTACTGTTTCTCATCTTAAACGAGTAAAACGAGTTCTCGAGATGAAACAGCTGATTAATATTTTTTAAATAAACGATGACACATAAGATGAAGTAAGAGATATAGACATTCAAAACTCTGTTAGAAGGCATCTGTTTTAACCTATTGTATCATCGAATATAATATATATATCGAAATATACAATTTTCTGACAATAGTGCTATATTATTAATCGGATCAATGCAAACTTACAACTCATCACACATCTCCTCCATCTAACCGTTGGTGCCCTTATTACCCAAGTAGGGAAATTTACCAGTTGCTCCGGTCCGTTGTATTTCCAAGAACTCCTATCAAATTGATCAAAAAACTCCTACGATTGCGGAAAGATAAACTTTGTCAAGGCCAAGCAGTTCAGTAAATCTCTTGCGTTCTACTCTAGGCCAAAACGATCTCGCAGTCGCACAGGAGCGGGTCATCCACCAACGCCTGCTAACCGCATGGACCTAGCATTGGTTCAGTGCTAGAACGCAAGTTGCCAATTGACATCCAACTCGTTTCTATTGCCAATGATAGCTCATCGGCTGTGCAGTTACTAGCGATTGCGCTATGACCGGGCACCTAATGAGTCTGATGATGAAGTAGCTACAGCCATAGCGAACTAGAGTTCGCTGTTAAGTATCGCATGAACTCCATTCAAAATTTTCGCTTCTCTGTTCACTGCTTATGGCACTCAAATCCTCGGAGCCCAATAAAGATTGATCACATAACTGACTTATACAGGTCCTTTATCGATATTGAGAAAATATACATATATATATATATATCCTGAAATCTGAAAACTGATCCACTGAAAATAAAGAAACATTTCCACAGAAACTGATATCATATACATCATAGTCGATGGGATATCTCTAAAGAACATTACCCATTTTGGACGCTGTAGTAATAATTTTGGACTAAGAAGTTTTTGCCCTAGTGATTTATACTATTTGACGCGAGTCCAAGTGTCAAGCAAGTACTCGAAACACATTGCACTATATTGCACTCTCTTTAATATATCTGAAAATATCAAAGACAGTATGCAAACTGAAAACCCCGAAACCTGCTGGGTTTCCAAATTGTGCAAAGTTTTCCAAGCCATTATATTTTATGCTTGAGCTTGCATTTGATTAGATTCCGCTAATTTTAAGGCAATTAACATGTAAATGCACGATTTTCGTTTTCAACAATTACTGTGTTTATTATTAATTATTTTCTTTTATCGTTGCCTTAATGGATATTCTGATCCTCCAGATGGTAGTTACTAAAAAAGAACGTGATTTGTGTTAAAAGTAAAAACCAATGATGTTTACATATATATAATCGAACATTAACCCAAACTTTGATATACACGATAGCGCTATTAATTGCCATTGCACTGTCAGGTGCGTCTGCTGGTAAAATCAATCGAATGAGATAGTAGCACATGATGAGTCCAGCGAAATTCCTACCTACCTAGAGCCAATAAAAAGTGTTCGGCTTAAAATGTAAAAAGCCGAAACAAATATAAATTGGTTTGGAAGAAGAGTCAAAACACAAGAATCATAAATTTTCAAATCGTTTTAAAAATAGTTTAACAAGTTTGTTTCAAATATAAAAAAATTAAATGAGTGAGAAAAGCATTCAAAAAAACTGTCAAATTTTGTGGGGATATTCAATAAGAAGTGAAGCTTTTCGGATAATAGTAAAAATTGCAGGTTTTTCTAATTACGAATAGACTAATGAACCAACAAAATTATGTCCCAATTCAGTAAGCAATTAAGTAACCCTGTTGGAATTGCTTATAGTATATTCACCTTTAGTCTCAATTCAAAATACTCAATGTACTCCTTTCGTTACTTGTGAAATATTTAAATTACTTGAGCAATATTATATCTGTAAATGGAGGATTAAAGGAAGACATCATCAACCGTATAAATTAGGCTAAGCACGTTTTCAGCGCCCTCAGCGCGGTAAGAAGTTTCTCGATCATTACGCGACGTATTTAAATTTAAAAATATTCTACTCCAATGTTAAGTATACACTTCTCTAATACTGCGATACATGGAATCTCGCAGCCTCTGACATCCAAAAGCTGCAAGTTTTCAGAAATCGATGCCTTTGCAATATTTGCCACATTTTTTGACACGTCGTTGCTTCTAATCCGGCCCTTGGGCGCGCACAAATCAAGCACCCATATGAGCCGAAATTCTTAAAAAAAATGGGGCTGGCTCGATTATGTTCTGAGACGAGATCCTGACATGATCACCCGAAACGCTATCAACTGGAATCCACAAGGCAGCCGAAGAAAAGGCCGAACCGCTCTTACCTGGAAAAGGGATTTAGGATATCAAAATAAGGCCCAAAAAATTGGAGTTAAATTAAGAGACTAGCACAACACCGAAATAAATGGAAGAGTCTCGTTGTAACCCTTTGCTCCACCCCGGAGCCATGGGTTACAATATACATATAGCAAAACAGCTTTTCTCAGTTCTCTCATGCACGGGCTCGGAATTATCAGCTTTGTAACATTGCTTTGCAGATTTTTTTCTTCAACAATTAACTATACAAGTAATTACCTCTGGAGTGTTTTGGTGAAGTAAGACCATGTATACGATCTTTCAGACTAACATTAAGTTAGTGGGTTTATATTTACATTATAACATATATGTAGGGTGTCTAATATTCCCCAAAGTGATTTGTTTTTACCTTTTCGTTATTTTGCCGTGTTAAAAAAATTTTCGTATCCCCATTACATAAGATTTTTCGATCTTTTTTATAACACAAAAGCAAAAAAACGAATAATATTTTAATACACAATTTTCGGACCTACAATAAAGGTTCTAATAACGTTTTTCATAAACACATGCCTTTGAAAGGTATGCGCAGTTAAATTATGCATCAAATGTAATGTATGCTTACAGTACACCATATCGTATGAGCAACACAGAATGTATATTAATCACTTGTATAACTGCTCAGTATATGATGTATAAAATTTAATTGCATATAACTTCTAAAGAAATATTTATATGGAAAAAATTATAAGACATGTTTTTGTTGAGCGAAAAATTGTTTATTGCAAGATCTTATATCCAAGGTTGTAGATTAACTTTTGATCGATCTGTTTGCATGGCTGCTATATACTATAATGCTCCGATCTGAAAAATTTCGTCAGAAATTGCAACGTTGACTTTAACAATATTCCATACCGAATTTCTTGAACATAGCTCGTCAACTACAGAATTTTCCATACAAGAATTTGATTCCGATCCTTCAGTTTGTATGGCAGATATATGCTATAGTGGTCCGTTATCAGCAGTTCCGACAAATGAGCCGCTTCTTTGGCAGAATATAACATTTGCAACATTTCAGAGCGATATCTCCAAAACTGAGGGACTAGTCCGCGTGTATACAATTTGTTTTATCCAAAAAGTCTAGAAGCTCGAATTATAATACAAGTACTGCTGCAATGTTTAATTTATGTAAGAATTTTATCCTTACTTATTCGCATTCCACTAAGCTCAATAATAAATATGTAAATGCACGATATTTGCTTAGAACAATAGATGAGTTTAAATTGATTTCTTTTGTTTCATTAACGGATATTATAAATTACTAGATTGTCTATATAAGCCCGTTGGATAACTTTGTAAATGTTTAGTGAAAGAAAAACTGTCTTCAGTGCCTCTCGGGTTGTTTTATAACACCTTATTAAGATGTTGCCGCAGAATTCCTATATTTTTTTACTCGTTGGTAAGCATATACTACTCAAAAAGTAAGGTCAATTTGTTTATAAAATGACAATTCTTTATATATTCTTCCACATCAATTTCATTCCCGTCCGATTCAACGTACTTTTGCCAACGCCTTTTTCCAGTCCTCGAAACAGTCGGAATAGTCTTTTTCCGGTATAGGTTTCAAGACCTTTCTCGATTGGGTTTATATCTCCGCAATTTTATCAAAACGGCGTCACCGCATTGGCCTTTTGAGTTTGCTGAATAGCCAGAAGCGGCGCGTCGAAGCCAAACCAGTCTAATATGGTGTTTGCAGAACGATAACCCATAAGTCAAGTTTTTGGCAAAAAAAGTCACGAAGAACCAATGCAGTATGGCATGGTGCATTATTGCGATGAAAGAACCGATCGAGACTTGACGTGCTTGAGACACAAAACATTCTCAATGCTTTGCGCTGTGCCAAATAATATTCCAACATTATCTGCAAGGTCTCCAATTGTCAACTGACGATTTTTCAGCACCGAATCTTTGATTTTTTTGGCGTGACCGTCGTCGGCAGGGGTTGAATGTCGTCCAGAGCGTAGGTCGTCTTTGACGTGTTCTCGGCACTTTTTGAACTCTTACCACTTACAAATTGCATGCAAGTTCTTTGCTCAACAAAACCAGCCATTGTAAAATTCGAAACTCGATTGTTTACCCAAACAGTTCTTACTCGGAGATAATTAAACCTTTTGACAAACAGACATTTTTGATCAAAGTATGTTAATATTTCACTAAAATCTCAAAATGCTTTTTGGAAAACTTTACATACGAGTACATAAAGTAGTGTTTTTTTTGAGAAAGACCGATACACCTCGTGATAGCAACCGCGATCTCTCAATTCATGGAGCAGTCTATAAGTGTTTCTTTCGAATATTCTGGGGTTTAAGTCATTTATAATGCTGATTCCGGTTTTTCACATATTTTCATTATATTTTAGATTTTGACTTAGAGCTGTTTGTTAACGAAACATATTTATATTTTGATTTTCATTATACTCGTAATTACATTGCAAGTAACACGAAATTAATTGGATTTTATACATTACAGCGTTACTAATACTAACTGAACCGTTAAACGGCTTTAATGGTGCACTTGATGACGAAAGAGATAGCTTCATTATGGTTGGTCCTAATACAGCATTCACTTCTATGTCAGGTAGTGAGACAGGGGTTATGGTAGGAGGTATGCCTGATGGTGAGGCAGATGTTATGGTAAGCGGTATGCCAGACGGTATGCCAATGCTGTTCCACGTTAAGGATTCCAACAACAATGGAAGAGGCGGACGTTTTAAGACATCTACAAGTGGTAGTATTGATAGTGGGGCAGATGTTATGATAGGTGGTATGCGGGACGGTATTCCAATGATGTTCCACGTTAAAGATTCCAACAACAATGGAAAATGCGGTCGTTGTAAGACACCTACAGGTGTTGTAGCACAAAGTGGTGGTGGGACAGCTATAGCACAAAGTGGTCATGGCGGCTTCGTGTTTAGTTCTAACTACAGGTAAATATTTGTATGAGAAATAAAATGGCGAAAGCGACCCCTTATGAATTTAAGAAACTTTGAATTGTTTTACTTTTCAAAGAAATTCAGTTAAAATCAGAGCATAAAATATTGAAATATTAAAGGTACATCATGAAATAAAGAAAAAAATAATAGAAGAAAGTCTAGTTAACTGGATTTGTGTAAGTAATAATAATATGATATATGTTATAATTAAATGAAACATCTTACTGCGAGTAATAAATTAGGTTGTACTTATATTTCTCAAGATGAGTGTACGGTTCATTTTCATTTCTAGCCTCATACGGAATTTTACGATTGTCATTTTAATTTCACAACCAAGTAAATTAATTGCAAAATACCTTGATTCACAAAAGTACTATTACTGGAACTACGGTGGCCTTAAGGGAGTGTCTTCTAAGACAACACAATCATTTTTATTTCTTCTATTTCTATTAAAAATCCTACTTAGTAGGTAAGATCTGTTTTCTTGAAGACTGCGTTTCCACTAATCCTTTAAACTCCCTAAAGTCGCCTAAGAAGAAGTATCTATTTGGACCGATATACGTAAATAAGGATCTTTAAAGCTCAACCATTAATTTGGGAAAGACATCTACTGCTTCTCCTCCTTGGTAAAACGAATTATCGAGATCAAACAGCTGACCAATATTTTCTAAATACTTGTAAAAAAGACATTCAAATTCTTCTGTTAGAAGGCACCTGTTTTAACCTTTTGTATCATCGAATATAATATACAAGTATATATCGAAATATACGATTTTCTGACAATAGTGCTATATTATTAATCGGATGAATGCACACTAGCAACTCATCACAATCGGAATCTTAAACAATTTATCTTCCCCATACGTCCTCGTTAACTGCAATAATGTCATTTGATATTTTAAGTAACTAAACCAAGTTCATACATCTAACCGGTGGTGCCCTTATTACCCAAGAAGGGAAATTTACCAGCTGCTCCGGTCCGTTGTGTTACCAAGAACTCCTATCAAATTGATCAAAAAACTCCTACGATTGCGGAAAGATAAACTTTGTCAAGGCCAAGCAGTTCAGTAGATCTCTTGCGTTCTACTCTAGGCCAAAACGATCTCGCAGTCGCACAGAAGCGGGTCGTCGAGTCTAATGGGCTCCTAATGAGACTAATGATGAAGTAGCTACAGCTATTGCGAACACATAACTGACTTATACAGGTGCTTTACCGATATTAAGAAAATATACATATATATATCCTGAAATCTGAAAACTGATCCACTGAAAATAAAGAAACATTTCTACGAGACTGATATCATATACATCATAGTCGATGGGATATCTCTAAAGAACATTACCCATTTTGGATGCTGTAGTAATGATTTTGGACTAAGATGTTTTTGCCCTAGTGATTTCTACTCTTTGACGCGAGTCCAAGTATCAAGCGAGTCACGGAAAATATTGAAGCTTCTCGATCATTACGCGAAGTACCTAAATAAATATATTCAACTCCAATGTTAAGTATACACTTCTACAATATATGCCTGTGAAACATGGAATCTCGCAGCCACTGACATCCAAAAGCTACGGATACAATATACATATATAAATACTCAAATTCACAGAAAAGATAATGACAGTGTGCTTAGGTAAGGTTAGTCGGGTAAGCTCGTGAGCCACGCATCCACCAGTTTTGATTCTTAGCGATGCCAGTTGGAGTGCCGTTACATAGTTCATAAGAAGTAGTTATCCTTCAGGATGCCAACGCTTGACGCCAATTTCGATAGGTTCTGTGGCCTAACTATCGATACATTTTCTAGTGTCTCATATCGTGGGACCCCCAACGTTTGAAACGTTGCTTTGCTAATGCAACAATTCTTGCAGTCAGCTCGATCTGTCAGGCCCATTCTGCAATACTCGGGCCATTTGACGAGACCTTAGAATAGTAATTGAAAATATTTCGGTACAGGTAGACTGAAGATAGACAGAGAAAAGTTTACTTAAAGGCGTTCGCTGCGTCAAAATAATATTCTTATACTAAAGCTTGATACCTACAAACTTGCGTCTGATTTCAAATAACTGTTGAGTTGACATAACATCCTATTCAATTATTAATTACTCAGTAAAAGGTCGATTAGTTTGGGAATCATTTTGACAAAGCGGTTTCTGGTTTTTTGGCTAAAATTTACGCTATCATACTATTGCCTGATCACTTATTCGCTGTAAATTTTTACTTCTTACACTGTAGGATATGATCTCAATCTTTTCCGACTGGTTCAAAATAGACTGCGGTGTAGGCACGGGGGTATACTCCGAGAATCTCTCTCTCTTTCCATCCACCAAACTGAGCTAGCATCTTCCAATCGGAAGTAGAAGGCATAGAGAAGCTCTGTGGAGTTTTACTGAATAGCTACGGGAGAATAGATAGCCAGGCGTCCTCGCCAAAGATCAATTCCAGCGTAGTAAATAACTCTAGGAAGGTCTGGCTGGCAGTTCAAAATATTCCCAAAGAGGTTTCTTTCTACTTACCTACATTTATTTAATACTTTTGAGACTCCGGTTTCCGGTTTCTGCTTAAAAGTACCTAGATCCGATCCATTTGGATACAAGACTTAGGAAACAATATGTTTTTAGTAAATATATTAAAAATTTCATAATTTTACTGTGTGCAACTTTGTATTTATTTGTTTTTGATATTTTACATAATTGGGTCATGTGAGACACCTATTGCGGTACTAGAGCGACCACGCATTCATGTTTGTGACTTTTCGGCGTCATTTGCGACAGATATCGCGGTACTAGACCTCCCAAAACCACAACCGCACTCATCTTGAGCCAAAAATGCACTGCCTCTCCTTAGATCAGTTGGGTTACCAGAGCTTATTGACAATTCGCTAACAATTAGGAAAGCTGAAATATTTAAAAACAAATACGTTATTTGGCACATAGCAGTACTAGCGGTTATTATGGGATTATCTTAAGATAACCTATCAAACAGTGTCTGGCAACAACGACCACATGAAATTTATGAAGTGATGTTTTCATATTGAAATTTTTGCCATGCACAAGATGCTTTATCCGGCGAAGCAAAGTGAGGCAATATTCGGCAACGTTTCCATGGCGTGATTGCTTTTTGGAAGTATTAGTCCTGCGAGGCTTTTGAGGATATTGCCTAAAAATTTGCATGAATATATTCTTAAAGTTGTCAATACTTACCTACGAGCAAGAAAATGAAAGTACTTTTCGGCAACATTTTTGAAGAGATATATTACAAATTTTAAAACGACTGAAGACACCTTTGGTTTCACTGAAGATGGACCAAATTTCCCACGTACTTATATAGTACCATCTGGGAGATTACAATATCCATTAACACAACAACGGAAGAATTTAATTTAAGCTCAACTATTGTTCTTCGCGAAGAGCGTGCATTTACATGTTAATTGCCTTAAAATTAGCGAAATCTAATCAAGTGCAGCTGAAGCTTATGCATAAAATATATTTGTCCATGACTTGGAAAATTTACTACCAAAATTTAGAAATTCATCGGACCTTGAGCGTGCCATTCGGGTTATCAATTTTGCATATTGAGTTTAATACTTTGAGAAGTATTGACGGGAGTACAAAATAACTCAACTTTGTTCGAAAACTAGCTTGAAACTTGGAAATGACGAGGGTGAAAAATTCGAATGCCATATGCATAGTTGCCATGCGCAAGTTTAGTGTATATGAGATCAAATGTCATTCGTCATATACTAACATGTGGTGCATAGCGTTATCGAAAAAGTTAAACCCCTGAAAAATGTGCAACTGGCCTGCTTGCTGGGGACTACAGGCGCAGTGTGAATCAACAAAGACTAAGGAGGTTATCTTCGATATCCAGCCAATACATATTGAAGTGAAACATGAGGCAATGCTTACGGCCAGCCGGCTCATGATTTTAGACTATTGAAGCCAGACTCGACGTTAGTACATGCATGGTATCATACTCGACCTTGTTAACGTACTCAGGTTCAATTATCGATGCGACCGAAAAAAGACATCCATTAGGAGTGAAACACAACGTATAACGATATCTTCGGTTCTGACAAATGAGCAACTTTTTGGGGAGAAAAGGAAAACTTCATATTGATATCTCATAAACTGAGGGACAAGTTTGCATATATGAAGACGAATGGATATACAGACAGACAGGGTTAATTCGACTCAGCTTGTATTGCTTCAACATTTACCATATGCATACATACACTCCGACGTTTCATTTACCATGTAGATACATTTTATAGGGTTTCCGACGTTTGCTTCTGGGTGTTACAAACTTTGTGGCGTACTTAGTATAACTTGTTCAGAAATAAAAATGTTATATTCTAAGAATTTATGCGCCTATTTTTGAAGGAGTTTTCTAAGAGAACTTTTGACGAAAATCAGTACACGTCCGCTAGTTGCGATTCAGGGATCTTTGTGAGCGGTAACCGGACGAGTATCATATCGATTTTTACCCTATATGTTCATATAAATATTACGAAATATTTTTAAAATCATTTTATTTATCAGTATATTTCAAAGCTTAAATGTTTCATAGAAACGTATTAAGAAATTTATGTAAATACTATTACACATATTCGACATTCATTTATTTTGAGCTAACAAGCTCGCTTTTTCTATTTTTATCCAGAGTATTCGCGGTCCATCCGACATGGCTACTAATGTCGCTACTTCATCCAATAGCTTTGAAAATGCAAGCTTTTCGACGCCGATGCCTGCGGTTTCGGCTTTTGTATATAAGCTTCTAAACTCATTTGCTGTAATAGAATCATCGGAAAGGTCATCGTTGGCACTATGTACTGGATTTAAAGTTTCACTTGTAATTTCACAAACGATTAAGAATACTAAAATATAGAAAAACCATTATGTATCAACTTATGATTATATTATTATCTGGTGTTAGCAAAATTCCGAATAAATGTGTTTGAGAAGGGGAATACCTGTTTTTTTTTGGTAATCTAGCAAAATAAGCTAGCAGTTTTTAAATATCTATTTCAATACATGTGCAAAGCGTACTTTCTAACTTCCGGACTTACCAAGGAACGTATAGCAGCCAGCATATTTTGGGAACATCCTTGATGAAGTACGGTAAAAATATTCTTAAATGGCAGGCAAGCTCCCAAGCACATATGGTTTATTATCACTAAAGTGCGAAAAAGTTATAATACGGCTTATATAGTGCAATCTTAAAAACCGCAGTATACATTAAAGAAGACAATAGATAGATTTTATTTAAATTCTCACATTGTTCTAAGCGAAGATCGTTGATTTACATACTAATTGTCTTGAAATGCGCTGAATGTAATCAATCGCAGCCAAAACTTATGCATATGTAATATAGCGCTTAGCGAGTATTGGCCAAATCATAGCACTTTCGCAGTCGTAAGGTCCCTCTGAGGTTAATTGGTTCGTCTTTCCCTGGTTGAGGCAGTTTGAATCAGGCATGGTACAATCGGCACCCAAATGGCAAGGTAAAAATTCGTCTTCATCAGAGGAGCAGTAAGATTATTGCAATAAATTTAAGACCAACTACAATAATTTTATGAGTTCATAGAGAAAAAACTTAACCTAACCAATGCTGTATTTCGCTGCAAAGGGCTCATCTTCTATTTCTTTACAGCGAGCGTACTGTTAGGCCTGACGACAAAACAAAGTTGGTGTTCAGATCTGGAGAAATATTGGCGAAAGTTGGTAAGAATTGTACTGTTTTAAAGTACTAGCTAGATGTTTGGATTCGTACCAAATAGAAACATTCATAGCTGTCGTAAATAAGAGTTTAGTTCTTGAGTAAGCTTCTCTAATGGCACAAGTTCTCTTTACTCCCACTCTGACTCTTCGTCCATCCTCAGTACTTAGGTATGCTAAGAAGGTGCGTGTTTGAATATTTTAGAGAGAACGAACTCATAACATTAATGCACATGGGTTCAATCTAGGTTGAAACCTCCCCAGCTTTGTCAGCGTCTCGAACTTGTTAATTTAAGTATATGTACATATGTGCAGTTTTATGATATTTTTAGGAAAACCTGTATAAGATAATTTTATGACTTCAAAGCTTTACTGATTATTTTTTTAGCCCTTTTTATTGCAGAATACTAGCTAAATGCATCTGCCTTCTCTTTCGTGCAGTGAATTTGTTAATTGGCAAGTAAGGAAGTTTTAGTCTAGGCGGGACGGACACTGACTGTTGATGTTAAGGAACGAGATGGTAGTGGTAACCTGAAGCTAGACATCTGTTTTTTTTTTGGTCTAAGAATTTTTGTGCTTATCTCAGCGGATGCTTAGAGCGATTTGGTTGCTTCTAGGAGTTTTAGAAGGGTGTTTTTCAAATGAATTATGAAATGTTGTGGGCAACCACGCAGCTGACGATATATACCTTCTTTATATTTTCGCGGTTTAGTTTCAATAGTTATTGCATTCTAAAAAGTTATTGCATTCCAATAGTTATTGCTTACAGACATTCGATTTCCATCGAGCTCATAACTTTCCTGTATATATTATCAATCTCTGCAGAGATCTTAGCATATTGGCAGTTGTTGTTTTGAACTTTTGAATTTATTTCTTAGAAGTTTTTCTTAATTTTGCTTTTTTCATCTCTGCTTTAGGAACCGCGAAAGATAGACACTTTCCTTTAAAAAAAATGGATACTTACCAACTAAATGCAGGCAGAAAAAACCGTTCGGGCATATTCTTATCAAATTGTCTATAAAACTCAACTTACTTGTTTCTGATACTCAAATATTGTTTGCATGGAATGCTTCGAATATCAATTAAGACACACACAAAAGGAAACACGCTGAAGTAAATAATGGCGATCAGGTTATTTGGTTGCTTTCACTGACTCACAAAAAGTACATTTTGCAGAAATTATTAAAGATTTATATAGTTGTCTAAATTCTAATATTCTAATTCCTAAGCAAACTAGTTGTCAAACTTTGTTTGAAATTAATTTCATTTTTATTAAAACTATTATTTATAATTTGTATAAACTTATGTTTCTTTGGGCGCACTCTTCTGTATTTTAAGCCATATATAATCTGGTCCACTTTCCGATGATATATATTGAGCCAGCATCATCAATATTCTTCTAAACTGCGGTGTCACAGAGTCACTCTCGTCGTCCATGGTGTCCGGTCGCATAAATTCTCTTACTATATCGTCATTTGAAATCGCTTCACCGCTTATAATTCTATCAAAATCCTCTTCAGATACAAATTCACCCTTGGTACACTGTATTTCCCTAATGACTAGGCAGGCTGAAATATAGATTTTTATTATTTACTATTTTAAGTTATAAACAAGAAAAAAAGTTAACTTCGGTTGCAATGAAGGTGTAACACTCTTCACAAATAAAAAAGTTTGCTTACAATAACTTGATTTTGATCGTTCATATTGTATGGCAGCTATATGCTATAGTGACTCGATCTAAACAAATTTTTCGGAGTTTATACCGTTGCCTTGGACAATAACCCATGCCAAATTTGGCGAAGTTATCTGGTCAAATTAAAAAGTTTTCCATACAAGCACTTTATTTCGACTGTTCAGTTTGTAGGACAGCTATATGCTATAGTGGTTCGATATCGATGATTACGACAAATAAGTAGCTTCGTGCGGAGAAAACGATGCATACAAAATTTCAGATCGATAGTTTAGAAACTGTAGACTATTGCGTGTATATACAAACGGACAGAAGGACATGGCTAAATCAACTCAGCCTGCCACGCTGATCATTTTCGTAAATATTTATTTTATATGTTCTACGACGTTTGCTTCTGGGTGTTACAATCTTCGTGGCAAACCTATATCTTGTTGAGGATATTGAAAATATTCAGTTGTCGCTCTTAATAATTCTCTCGACGTTACGTCCACTCACATTCGCTACAAGTTTTGGCCCTCTATTCCTAAGTTACTTAACAGATTTTAATAGTTTTATGTTATATAAGATTGTGTTATGTTATTTTACATAATGCTATATTATATTATCTTATGTTATTATACCCTATAATTTGTTCTTAGCGACTTACCAACTATTAATAGTGTTATGAAGGTATTCTTTGTCAACATCCTTGATGTTCTGACTATAATATAAAATGTTTACCGTGGTGTAGAGCACGTCGCCAGAGCAGACACAAATTGTAACGGGCTACTGTAGCGCCCCCCGTAAGGTTTTATATAGAGCCAGTAAGTTATTTAATGGCATACTAAGATTTGAAACTCAATTCACCATCTGTTCTTGAAGTTAAAGGTTGGTTATTTGCATATAGATTGAGTAACGTGTTGAGACATAAAATACAGAATCTACACAGTTAACAGTGTAAATGTATGAAAATAATAAAAAAATATATATATAAAGCTTACGGATCAGCTACACTGGTTTCTGGTACTACTTTACACGTAAGGTAGATTAATCTGCCAAATCTGGCAACATACTACCACTTTCATAATAATATTATAACGAGGCACTGAAGGAGCAGGTGAACTTAATTATACCTGCTAGATGTCTCTCATGTTTCTCTTTCTAATTGTCATCTACAAAACATCCAAACGTAGGGCCTAACAATTTTAAAGCGGCTTCGAATGACAACTGATTTTCAGAGGGCGCTTTCTAATATCAGAAATACACACGTGAGCTTGTATTATTCTGTCAAGCAACGTTTTCCGAACGTCGGAGTGTTGAACCCAGTTGAAATGAACGCATTGAATTAAATAAGTTTTCTTACTAACTTACCATAAAGACTTAGATTGATCCCAATTGCCCCTTTACAACAGTACAATGCGACCGATGCCTTCCTCACTCTATCTTCGATGTTTGGTACTTCACCCTGTCCACTGGTTGTAAAAGAGAGTCTCCCAAAAATGGGAGAGTAACATTAGGAATTTTGTATATTCTAGTAAATAAAGCTAGTTCAATTTCATTTGGATTTATGGCTTATCTACTTCTAAGTATCTGCCCAATTGGTTTCCACATTTGTATACTCTTGGGTGAGATCGTAAACATTGGTTAAGAATTCTTCTTTAGGTAACCACCAGGCAGCCTTATTCCTCAAGCTCCTTCAAAAGGTCCTTCAACACTAGGATCCAGAGCAAAAGGATGCCCCTACATACAACTTGTATTTTCCGAAGAGCCCGTCCATTTTCCACCACAACCGTGCTGTCACAAAGAAGACTATAGATATTATGCTTAAGATAAGCTTCGACCTCAAACTCATGAGCTCCGATAATCGCATTCGGCCGTACGTTGTTTAAAGCCCCCTGGATATCAAGCATGTACCTTGCGCGTCGGAACTACTGGCAAGAGCGGTACTACCACCATGTCACTATATCAGTAGTGGCAAATATGTTCAGAGTTGATAGTATAGGAAAGTATACAATTCACGGTCCAGCGAATTCCAGTTCATACTTTAGCTATTCCTTACATACTAACAGAACTAATTCGATTTTTAACCCCACAAGTATTGTGTTACTACATTTATTACTAAGACTAATTATACTATAGAACTAAATAAATGAGAAGTCCTAATGGAGTGTATAGTTTATATGTTGTAAGATCGATTTGAATTTTATGCGTCAAGCTGAGCTGTGTATCGCCCAAAACTTTTCAAACGTCTCCATTTCCCATGTTCTAAGCTTAACATTTTAAGGATACAACATTTAGTTGACCGATAACCTTCACTCCGAAGTCACCAACGCATTGTAATTAGTTCTCGGAATATGAACCACATCGATAGGCTCGAGAGAGAGAGAGGTGAGCTTAAATTAGGTTTTCTCTGCAAAGTATGCCATTAATTTGAGCGGGTATTGATATTATGTATTTGGGTTCAAGCTTTACAGTTTTATAAAAAATATATTTGTCAAATTTTATTTATTTTAGATATGTAAAGCAGCATACTACTCCCCTACTTATAAACTTGAAGGTCCACTTTTCATATAACTACTTTGGCCACAAAGCATCTCCATTATTCAGATAGCGTTTCCTCATCTTCTTGTAAATCTTCTTCAGCAGCTAAGACAAGTGCTTGTGGCAGCTCTTCATATGTAGGTTCATCTGAACGTTCATCTGTAGGTTCATCTGTAGGTTCATCTGTAGGTTCATCTGTAGATTCATCTGTAGGTTCATCTGCAGGCTCCTCAGTCGCATCTGCCTCTTTATCTTCAGCTACTGGTGGTAGTGCACTGGCGCTGGGCAATTCGTTGAACACGGCAAAAGCTTTATAAAAAATATTACGTAATCATTAGGGACATAGAAAAACTGGACAATGGTTAAACCTTACCGCCAATTAGCAGACACAAACAAAGGAATTTCTCGAACATTTTGCTAACACAAATGTTAAAACAGTTCAGTACTGTCTGTCAAAGTCTTCCGGGGTTTATATACGTCGTGTTGCTGTCTGCAGTCTATCAGTTTGGTCTTAAAATGTGGCTCATGATTTTTAAACGTGATATACTCTAATAGAAGAGTATAAGTTGTAAGTACTTTTCTAACTAAAACACTTAAACTATTCAGATAATGGATTAATGCCTACATGCATGCTCTACACATGCAAATAGACACACTCACCGTTAGCTGGTTAGAACCCGCTTTCGTGCTCAACAATTTGTAATCGCTGTCTGACTCAGACATTGCCTGACTTGGCTTTTCCGCAGAGTTTTATATGTAAAAATGGTAAATTTTAAATTCATTTTCACACGTCACTACATTTCCAAAGTCAATAATCTATGCAGTAAAATTTTCGGAGTAAGTTATTCTATAGTACGTGAGGTATGACCAAATTTTTGCAAAATTACTACTTAAGCAGTTTTAGGTGTCATACGACATAGCTGATTACGAGTGACCCCCCCACATCTCTTGCAACATTGACTGCTAGCTAAGCCTTTTCAGTTTGTTGTGAAACACTGACTGGTCTCCAAACACGTTCCGGACCTAGTTAAATTGGGTTCACAGATTACGTATGATGAGGTAGCCCATATATATTCCTATTCTAATCTGTTGTTTGATTTTAAATTATATGTTTTCACAGACATTACTAAATCATTGTTCAATTAGAATCAACTGAGTGTGGCTGAAAAATCTGAGCTTTTTTAACAACTGATTAATTTTCAGCCGCTTAAATCAAGAGAAGTCACCATAAAAATTCAAAGACTTCAAACCAGATGGAATTTTATCATTAGGAGCTCATTGAACACTATGAAATTACCATCATAAGCAATCTTCATCAGTTATTTCCTTTTCCGCTTGATATGCAATGACCAAATTGAGATACCGGGACGGAAATTATAACAAAACTTAAAAGATACCTTTTTTCATTCATTCGTTCGATAAGATCGAAACCCTAAGGCAAAACCTTAAAGATATTTAATTTCGTTTTTTGGTTGCGATGATTTGAAGCGTTAGATTGTTGTAAGGTATTTTACGAGGTCTCCATAAATTCAACCATAGTACATTTAGTCTTAAAGAATACACCTAGTATGACAGCCAAAAAAAACGTCGGATTTTGGTAAGTAAAAACAAAGACTACTGTATCAATCGCAATATTTAAACACATATTTTAAGAATACAATGAAGAATTTTGGAAAAAAATAATTTAATGTTACAATAGGTGTGCCCCTTAAATAGCATTAAGCTTTGTTCATCATATCCAGTCGTCTGGCTGAGATTCATCTCGCTAACAACACTTTGTTGTTCTACGAGAGACCCCACTATGGCAAAGAGTTCTATATATTACAGTTGAGCCATATTATTTGGCTATTCGATTATGCTTCTTCAATATTTAATTTAAAAAATATTTGAGCAGACTCAATCTTTCTGAAACTCTCTTTAAGATAACACTGCAAGCAAATTCTCACTAATCGTATAGCTCCGACTACCAGGATTAATTTCAAAGCGTAATCTCATCCTTTAATGAGATTCTGCAGAGCAGCCACCTTAAATATCTCACATTAGAGAGCCCTAAAGAAAGAAACATCAGAAACGCTATAAAATATATACATACAAATGATCATATAATATTATATTAAATTATATGCATTCTGTTTCTTCTTGAAAACCACATGTCTAAAAAACACGCTTTATTATGTTCAAAAGTGCTGCGCAAAAAATTATGCAACAGCTATTCATACTAGTACTTTAAAAAGAATATTGATTACTTACTAACTTACAGTTATCTAATGCATTAGTTCTTACCAAAAACATCGCACATATTTCAATTAGCACACTCCTACAAAAAAAAGTGCCGTAAAGTATGCAACGCAAAGCTACCACACATACATATTTACATACTATATGCGCGATTGTGCGAACTTTAAAGCGAAATACCCACGGTATACACACCAACGCTTTGGCATGGATTGTGGCTATTGTGTTACGGGTTGCTGCGCTTATGACAATCAGCTGTACCCATTCATATATAGTTGTTGCTGTTGTACTGTCGCCTGTCATTTTGACATTTGTTGCATTATAATTACTATGCATGTTGCCGCCGCTGTCGAAATTGTCGCCATCCATAATTAATGTTATTTGCATTGTTGCCATACCGCATACCTGCGTGAGTACGCACATTTTTGCACTCTCAACTAAGTGTGGGTGTATGTATGAGTGTGTGTGCCTGGGTGTCGTTGCGACAGCCAATATTAACATTGCTTTAGCCTATGTTATGTGTGTTGTTATTGTTGTTAACTATACACCGCAAAACGTTCAGCAATTGCATGTAAATTAGATGCCGGAATACAGACATGGACCCAGCAAATAAAGCCTATATGGAGCTTTTCTTTACTAATGAATCTCGGTTGGTCTCTTGTACTGGAGGGCAGAGCGCACTTTTTATGCTTTGGAATATCTTAAAATAATGCATTAAATGTGTTCTGCTTAAATCGGTGATGAGCGGTTAGATCGAAACTTGTCCCTAACTATTTGATATCTGCTTCGTAATAGTGCTTAGAAGACAAGCTTGCCAACTGTGCTTTGCTACCCTTTGGAGAAGTGAACTCTATTACAATTCAGAGATCAAAAGCTTTTTTGCGATTTATTCTATATAAAAGCGTATGAAATAATTTCTGAGCAATCAAGACACGATACGCTCCTTATTAACTGCTCGACCACACACTCGAAATCGTTGTCGAAGACATATATCTCCAATTAGGAGCTCTATAAACTCAGAAACACACAAATTAGATCGTTGTTAAAACAAGAACTTGCTTGACCTCAAAACTTTTCTGATCAGTTATTTTTAGCGAAGACCGCAACTCACCTCTAAGCCCCGCCAAACCTCCAGCTGCTTTCATTGGTTTTGTTTTGGTGCTCTCTCAACTGGTGAGCTGAATTGAAACGATTATAAATATTTTACCCTACCAAGTTGTTCAGTTGCCTGTGAAACTTAATGCAGCCCTACTGGCAACCCGTTTCCATGATAGTAGGAAGTGTAGAGGATCCGATTTTGTAGCAGTTTATGGACAGTCAATACAGCTGTATTGAATGATTCATTTTAGGGAATGTTTTGACACCACTTCATCAACAAAAAATATTTTTATAAGGAACTTGAGTTCGGTACTAACTAATTCTCTGCTGGGTTAATTTATATTTTGTGCATAGTTGTTCTAATGACCCCTCATAGACGATAGAGAAAATGCGCAAATTTTAATTGCATACATTTGTACAGTTCGCTTAAAATGATTATCTACACTCTGCGCTTTGAAATTAGGAAGCCAAAAATGAGGCTAAAACTAAAGCTAAAAGAACCTACCGATATCAGGTTAAGGAGGCGTCATCTGACATGTCAATATCTTTTTCAGTATCTCTAAATTAATTTGTTAGATAAAATGTTGAAGCGACTGACAATTGATGTATCTCATTCATCTGACTTCGTCTGGAAAAACCGTAGTCTAACTGCATATTGTCTTAAAAGGTTTAGAGCCCAACGCATTAATATTCAATTCTGTTCTCATCTTCAGCCTAGATACATCCGTACACCAGTATATTAAACCATTACAGCTCGTGTTAATCTGAGTGTATGAAGTTGTGAAATTCAAGATATTTTAGCTTTCATCTCACAAATGCCAACTACAAAAATAAATAATTAAAATTATATACACGCATAGTAATTTTTTCGCCGCCATCACTGTATTATTTTCGTCGTCAATTACACATTGTGACACCGCGCCTACATGTCGGCGATTACAGCAAGTGTAAAAGCCGCCAAATCAAACTCACACTCACCAACAAACGGTAGAATGAAATTCTGTTATTTTTGCAGCACTTTCATTAATTACCGTTGGAATTTCTAAATGTTAAATTCATGCGATTTTTGCAGCGAATTTTCATTAGCATTTGTTTGGCGCATTCTAATCAAAACCGTTACAATTTATTTGCTCCGGTAAGCACACTGCCCCTTTACACCCTTTTCAACTCGCACTCTCGCTCTCTCTCTTTATATGCATTTGGTGTACTTGTGTGCTGCTTGGTTGTTTGGTTTGTTGTAAATCTGTAAACATTTCTGCTTAGTGGCAGCGGTGAGGCTAAAAAGTTTGCACATTTTCGGTTGCACTCGAACACACCGCAAAAACACATCCGCAAATATGCATGCATGCACTTACATATGTATATGCACGTTAAACATTTAAATATTTATTTCTCTGCTTCTGTGTGGTAAATTGTAGCATAGCTTAGGGCGTTATTAACTAAATGCGAATTATTTTAATTAGCTACTGCGAAATGTAAATCAACGTGTAGTTTCATTTAGGAATATTTGTAACGTTCATTAATATATACATATATACGGTTAGTTTAGACATTTTAATGTGAAATGTTTGCGTATTATAGTACTTTTCGCAATAAAATAAAGCGTTGTTTCGCATGACACCCGAGAGGGTAAGCAATTATTTGTTACTCTATAAAATAAGAATAAGGGAACGGCAGCTAATGGCAGGACATAATGCTTGTTTGACTCAAATGCTTTCACACCCAGAATAGGTAGTATGACCTCTCTATAAAAGCCCCTCTTTACTTCACTTTTTAGATTTACAGTTCTTTCGATTATATAAATGACGACCTTAGCATTTCTCATTAATTTTTTTTGAAAAATATGTGCAGCGATCAAACTTTCTGATGAGTTTACAGTAAAAGACAATTTTTAACCCTCTCAACATCCTTGGTTTCTTGAGTACACGGTAAAAGAAAAAATACTCACTTTATTGTTTTAGATTTAAAGCAGTCATGGAGCTGTTGGTTAATGAGAGGGATGAAAACTTTTCTCAAGTTTTTTCTATGGCAAATATTTGAGCTATTGCATCTCTCTGATGAGCAAACATGAAATGATAAAATACATTTATTCTAACTCATGCAAAGGCTCTCTTTACTACGGTATTGTGGACCTACAGCCTACTTTTTCCTACAGCCTTACTTTTGAATATTAAAAGGAAGGGTAGCTTAAGCTTTCTCAAGCTTTTCCAATGATAAATATATGTGACATCCAGCCTGCAAAAGTGGTTACCTTGTGGAAGACGTA